CATATTGAATTTCTACTCCATCTTACTTCTGATTCTGACTCTGAGTGTCATCACTTCATGATGGATGACTGGAATCTCGGAAGTTCAGGCGAATCTCTCACTGCTGTCCCTAAAAGGTATAGGCACATGGTGGTTTCAACAGTCTCGTCCCTGTTCATTTATTTCCTAATTGGAAACCTTCTCAATGAACCTCTTCTGGGTTTGTATCGACTCTTCTATCGATTATTGAAGTGGATAAGGTTTTCTAAAGGGGGTTCGTGCGAGAATGGAAATGTCTAAAGAATCCTAAGAGATTATTAAAACATTTCACTGGGTGATCCATATCGAGTCCTGCTACAATTTTACAGTGTACACAAATCATATATGACTTAGATCTGATAGGCCTTCGAATATGTGATACTACTCTATATCCACATCCAAACAAGGAAAAGGAAGTAGAGCGAAACCACACATTCTCAGACTATGAGATCCTCACTATATATAACCTTGGGAGTATACACTCTGTAATCATAGGTATATCAATAAGGATCTTTTTAGTTTTTCACACAAGGTTATTTATGGTTCCTAAAATACCCCTATGGTATTTTAATTACATGTTTGATTCTTAACTTCTGAATATGCTTCTGGGATTAATGTAAATCTTTTAGTATCATAAAATACTCCTATAGTATTTTTAAACTTTATGTTTGGCTCTAGAATTCCTATTTGGTAAGTTTCAGATTTGTTGCAACACCACCATCACTCCCACGCACACGTTAGTCGCATCTCGAATAAATATAGTTGATCGGGTTATATGTATTCCAGCTTACGATTACATAACTGCCCAGGTTTGACGGGAATGTTCAACATCCGAAGACTTTTATTCTTATTCTTCTTGTGATACTTTGTTCGGATGTTTAGATTCTGGATGTTCTTATACTTTTGTAAAATATGGTTATATTTTAAAGTATAATTCTTGTTCAGAGTGTTTTATCCCAATGTATTTATAGGTAGTATATCTTTTATGATTTGATATACTGAGCTCACTATAAACAATGCTCTGATACCAATCTGTCACACCCCAAAACCGGAACGGCGGAAACGTTCTAGGGTGGAGGACGTCATGTCAAGTATCACAACATATGCAATATAGTAATCAAAGTACAACAACCATTGCATTAATAGTAATAATTTTACATAGGTTACATTTTACAACAACATCAAAGTAGATATAGGAAGTAACATAAGTTGCAGCTTGGTACTAGGCTGACTTCGCAAAAGCTCCCGGAGTGTACCTGTCTACGGATGACCTGAGAATACAAGTTATTTTGAAAGCGAGTGTCAGCATATTTAAATGTTGGTGATTTCATAAGTATTTAGTGACAATTGTATAAATACATGTTTTATTTCAAAATAATCTCACTCGATGATGGTGATTAGAATTTACAGAGTATTAGAATTCCTTCCAGAAAATCCTTTATTTTCTAATAAAAGTAGTCTTCTACCAAGACCCAATTGTTTTCTGTTTAAATTAAGGAGTATCTCTATTAAAATCAGTCTTCTACCAAGACCCATATGTTTTATGTTTAAGAAACATTTTCCCCTTAAAGGTATTATCATTATCAAAATATGATTTATACTTTAAAGAATATGTGAGAAGATCATAATCAAAAGTAATAAGGAAAATAATATTTTTATCTCAGCAGTAACGTTGCTGGCTAAAAGTAAATAAAACATAGACTTCAGGTGGTATTGGAGAATCAACACGCCTAGCAAAGTCTAAAGGTAAATAAAACATAGACTCCAGGCGGGACGCCTCGCAAAGTCTAAAAAGGGTAAATAAATACAGACTCCAGGTGGTATTGAATGAACAACACGCCTAGCAAAGTCTAAAGGTAAATAAAACATAGACTCCAGGCGGGACGCCTCGCAAGGTCTAAAAAGGGTAAATAAATACAGACTCCAGGTGGTATTGAATGAACAACACGCCTCAGAGAGTCTAAAATAGCCTTTAATCCTATGTGGGTTGGTTTAAAGCTTTATAATGTGGCCTAGTGTATAACTAGGAAAATAAGTTATGATGGTTTCATATATAGAAAAATACCATGGTAATACTTATTACCTTAAAGCCATGAATTATAAGGTAAATGTAAAGATACTCGTAACCATGCTGATTGACAATCGAATACTTGACGACCTGCTGGCGTCGGAATGAATGTGACATTTGTCACCCCTTGGCTTGGTCGGTCGGGACTGTAGCTAGCAGTCAGGATGTGGGAGTGTCTGTCCCGTATAGATCTATACACACAATGCCCGCTCTCCCTCCAGGAGACTCTGGTTACCAACTTGACAACGGTGGAATCCGCGTCATGAGGATGTATCTCGTGTTTCGAATTCTATAACCTTTCTCTTTATTAAAAAGTATAAGTGTTTAGAATATAGATATAACTAGGTTCCCCTTCATGAAAGTTATGGTTGGTTTCTAAACTATACCTATTATAGTTTACTTGAGTCCTTTAAACATTTCTATATAACTATACATATATAGGCATGCATTTTATAATATAAAGCATAAAAGAACTTTGGTAAAACCTTTTAAAAGCTTTAATAATCTAAAAAAAAGATATTCATACTTTAAAAGAGATTTGAAAACAATATTTGAAAACCTTTAGCTGGATAAAGCAGTTTAACATGCAAAAATCTATTGCTATACAGTTATTAATCACATGTGATTGATATAATAACTCTATAGTTCAACTTGTATTCCCCCCCATAAAAGCATTTAAAATCAGTTAAAAGGTTGATTCAGGGGTATGAACTCACCTGACGTGGGTGATTCGGATGAACGGATGGTATAGGATGCTAAGTGTCAAGTGGGGACTTGACCACACACGCGAATCCTATTTAACATGTAATGATACATTTAAGTATCTAATTAGCCATTTAATAACTAATTATGCAAGTAAGGACATCCTAATGCATGAAAACACTTTGCTACAAGTGCTAGGAGTACCAAGGGTTGCATATAAAGAGAGTATGGCCTCACATTGGAGTTTACTCCTCAAATGGTGGCCCTTAGGGGTGTTTATGGTTTCTGGACCACTTCCCCCATGAGTTTACGGCCGTAAACTCATGGAAGTGGTGCCATTGGGTGTTCAAAGGTCCTAAACCACTCAAGGAATTAAGCTAGACTCGAATCAAGGGCTTAGGAAGTGACTAGGGCTCAAAATGACCCTTCTTTGGAGTTTACGGTCCTTGGACCACTCCTTGGGAGTTTACGGTCGTAAACACATGGGTTTACGGCCGTAAACTCATGTTTGTCCATTTCTTTCGAGGTTTGGTGTTTCTATCTTATGCATGCAAGGTTCTAGTCACTTATACAAGCATTGGAAGGTGTTAGGGGCACTTAAACACCTTTGGAAGGTGTTTACGGTTTTGGGAGGCCTCCCCAAACCGTAAACTCATGTTTTCATGGGGATCTTGATGTTCTTCAAGGGTTTAACATGTATTCTAAGTGAATAACTTGATAGGAGGAGTGTACTTACTTATAGGAAGCTCGAAAAAGTGTTTGGAGCCCAAGAACACTAGTGTGTGTTCTTGGTGTTCTTGGTGTTTTGAAGAACACTTGAAGATCTATGGAAAAGACAAGATTTCATGGATGAAATCGAGTATAAACACTAGATAAAGTGTTATATGAACAAATCTAGGAAGAAAACACTTACATTTTGGCGGATTTGACGGAATGATTTTATGATAGTTGAGAGAGAATCTTGGGTGTTCTTGAAGTTGGAAGTGAAAAATGAGCTAAAAATGACTAAGTGTTATATTTATACTCTTTGGGGTTTACGGCCGTAAACTCCATGTTTACGTCCGTAAACTCCAAACTTTTGGAGTTTCGCGGCTTACGTGATACACGGCAAACTCTAAAATATACTTCCTTTTATTTGATCGCTTGACGGATATAATTTAAAATATTCAAACGAGCTTAAATCCGGCCAAAAATGTTTTGAGATAAATTTGGCTAATTTTTGAAGTGCTTGATTGCGGAGTTTATACAAATGAAAATTTCGGGTTGTCACACATATCATTGTGGTTGACCTTGTCTCCTACTGTTACAACATCAAGAGAAGACAAACTCTACAAAACAAACTGGCACTTTGATCATTCAGTCTTGACGTTTATCTCAGAAACTTAGTATCTCGGACAGACAACTATTTCAGACACATTCTTCTCGAAAGTCTGATAGCTTGGAATTGTCTATGGATCACTTGTCATGAACTAACACCCCCCATAAAATAGATCTATATTGAGCTTGAAGACATACATATGCCTGATCATTGAATTTCCATGACTTTAACAAACAATTTTGTTTTAAAATAAAGTCTAAAACAATAAGAAAAACCGCATGACACGTCATGAAATGAGTAAAGACGTAAGGTCAATCCATTAACCACCAAGTATTTTCAAGATCCAAAACGAAAAACATAAACAACTAAAAAAAATCAACGTATCACACCCATCTAAAATTACAAGATCAATCTAGTACCAATCACCTAAGCTAATCCAATCACGTGCACCCATCATATCTTTGAGTACAATCATAAAAATAAAAATCCAATAAATAAAAGTTTTGTACTAAAGTTGTAATAATAAATAATAAAAGTTTTTAAAAAAAAAAAAAAAATTACAGGAACCAAATTCTTAAAATGAATAAATTATGGATAAAAAATCTAAGAAAAAAAGAAAATTTGGGACATCAATCCGGGGGTTTCGGATAAAAAATGGTTAAAAGTCGGATTAAACATGTAAAAATAACGTTGGAGAACCAAATTTGTGAATACTTTAAAGTTTAGGGTGAAAATGAAAAAACAAATGGAGATGAGGGGTGATTGTTGTGCAAGGGTATAAGTACTGGACTGCGGCTCATGTTTTGCGAAAGATAGGAAACTGGACGCGCGGATCTTTTGTGATCCATGGGTCTACATGACCCGGATATATACTTGCTGGAGATGATTCCGTTCATAGCACACACTCGCACTTACAGAGTTTTTTTCGTTCTCTTACGCTAGGGTTCGTAAGTTCTTCGATCTTTTGTTCATTCCTTTTTCGAGAGTAGATTAGGGCTTTATGAAAACGTAATTTATTTCTTCGTGATTGCAGTTTGATAAAATCCGTCTTCTCTTAACGCTTCGGTTCAATGTAGATTATAGTTCGTTTGTTTTTTTCGTGCGTAAGCTGTTCGAACTGACACTATTTTTTTGATTAAATCAGGTTTGCTGGATCAGATTCGTCGTCTTCTCTAGGGTTTATCGGAAATGGCGGACGGACTTGTAATTTCAGGTTCAGGCTCTGGGATAAGTGCTGGCAAGGCTTCCTCTTCCTCCGAGGGTAAGCCCATCATCTTCCCCTTTTTGTTGTTAGTTTCTTGATTTATTGTTAGTTTCTTGATTTGATGTGGTTAGGGATCGAATTTTTGTGCGTTATCTTGCTGTGTACCCTGTTTTAACCTCTCTGTAGAATGTGTGTGTATTTGGATACTATTCTTCGTGATTGTGAAGGTTAAGGTTAAGCTGCGTTTGCACTTTGCAGGGCATATCATCACACACCACCAAATATACTAATTACATAAATAAATGCAAGAATTAACAGCATGCTTTTGTTGATTTGTTTATTGTAGCATTTGATTTTCATTTGTTGATATGATAGCGTGATTGTAGTTTGGAAAATCTAACTTATTAGTTATTACACACTGCTATAATTAGGTAGAATTTTCAAACTAGAAGAGCATGTTATAAACTTATAATTGGGTGGTTTTTTCAAACTAGAAAGGCTTAATAAGAAATAAAAATGAAAGTAGGATGATATAAACACAAACAGATGAAAGTATATTGCTATTATCTTGTATTTATCTGTATACTTTATAGAAATGTGATACGATGCTGGTTGGTTATGAAAAAAGTATTTTAAGTTGTTTAAGCTGTGTTTGCAGGACATATCACTTTTTTCATGTATCACGCCACAAATACCACCCACCTGTATAGTTGTGCCTTGTAATAGTTGTTATTGACAATATGATTTATTTGAATGTTATCTTTAACTTATAACATGTATTAGATAAATGTTCAATTTGTTATTTGCCATTTTTAAATAGGAGGGTAGAATAGTCATCTATTCATTGCAAAAGAGAAACATAGACTTATGTTGATCAACTGTTTTTTTTTTTTTTTTTTTTTTTTTTTTTTTTTCAGATCTGCCAGTTCAGGATTATGTAATTGTGTTTGATGATGGTACTGTCAACAACCGTATTTCTGATATCAGACCTGAAAAAATCTTAATCCGTTTGGATTGTGAAGCTCATGGGGAATCAAAAGTGGTGGAATTTGTGCTGAATAAGTCAAAAAAGATTGATTTGGCTGGGAAGGTAAGTGTTTTTTAGTTTTATATTTTATTATTTTTGTAAGTTAGTTAGCTGTGTATTTTAATTTTTTCTTTTGGACAGTTTCGTTGTGATGTTACTTATCATATCAAAGATGTGACACCAGCTACTTCCACAAGAGATGATTTGTATGTTCAAATTCGGATTAAGGGCAAAGTTGGAGTTAGGCTGAGGGATGCTGAATGTTGGTTCATTGGGGTAATACATCTTTTATATATATATATATATATATATATATATATATATATATATATATATATATACTGTGTCTGTGTGTGTCAAATGGTATTTAATATATACAATCACTTATCTTTTTATTTTTGTTGTTCAATCAGACTGTTTGGGGTACTGAAGTCCGTTTTCAAATTGACCGGAATGGAAGTTGGAGGATGGCGGAGCATGCTTATCTTGATATTGAACCGGACAATTATCTGGATTTGATTCTGGGGCGATCTTCCCCTTCCACATCAGCAAAGAAAACTGAAAGCGGGTCGAGTTTTGATACTGAAAAATCTCATGGTGTTAAGGAAGAAGCAGTAGAAGCAGTAAACACACAAGCTTTGTCTGATCCGGAAACTTTTCATTATTTGAACAATGAGCCGGTCGAGAAGCATCCACCAACTGCTTTGGAGTCCTCTGACTCTGATGTCCAGAGTGATGCTGTTAGTCATCCGCCTCCAATTCCCCTTGCTGAGAGAATTCCTTGGGTTTCATCTGTGAAGTTACTGTTGGTACCTCTCTAGTCCTCTAGTCATCGTTAGAGAGAGACTATCTTAGTTTGTTTTGATATTTTTGTCTCTCCAAAAGATTTTTGATGTGGGTTGGTAAAACTTCTGTGGCTTGTTTTGTTTTGTTTAGTTGGTTAAAATCGGAAGCAAATTAAAAACCTATTGTTTTCTTGGTTTGCAAATATTTGGAATGTAGCTATGTCAACTGCCTTTTGAGAGTTATACTAGATTTTTTTTTTCAACTTGCTGTTTTTAACAGTCTTTCTTGGTGAGCATTGTGGCTTGCGGTTTTTTCGTTTTGATTTTTGTCATCTGTGAAACACAAATTGGAGTCGCAAGTCGAGACTATGGAGAAAGGCATAGGAGAAGACAACACATAACCTTGACCTAGAAGTTCTTTTTTATTTCATAAATCAGTCCCCTCATGAATACTTTGACCTTGCCGGCAGATTACATAACCACTTACTTGTTGGGCTATGCAATCAATAAAAACCAAATCGTGTTGAAGTGGGTACCACTACCACTTCAAAAGCTCTAACCTTACATAAGGAGAGAAGATCGTAGGTATACTCAGCTGACATGTAAGCATCTTCGTAAGGCTATAAGGAATGCCTTTAATTTCCTACCCGTATGATGAGTTGGCAAATAAAGTCATGCGTGACTTTCTTTAAAATACCACCCCCATGCAGCGTAGGTGTGAACAATCGTGGGTTGGGCTACGATCCGATACAAATGAGAAAGAAAGATAAAAGGTCACGATACAAATGAGAAAGAAAGATAAAAGGTCATATGACCGTTTCAAATTTAACATTTCTTTTTTTAAACCCTCTAAATTAAATCTTTAAATACCAACAAAACTTTCACATTACAATACACAATACTTTCACTTCTTTCTCTCTATACTACAATCCCAAAGATGGATCAAAATCCAAACACTCCAAACACACCTAGTTCACCCACCAACACATTCGCATTCAACACAACACATCGCAAATACCCAAATGTCGAATCATCACCGGGAGGAGGTTTCATGAATATGTTCCTTCCAACAAACTCACCAATTCCGCAATCACTAAACCAGGAATTTTCGACACGGGTAGCACAAAAATAATTTCCCGATAAAATATAAAGAGTAATACCAAATTAACCACAAAAAAAAAAAAAAAATCACTAGTCATATAAAGAGTAATACCAAAGAGTGTTTGAATAATGAATCCATCTGTCACAAGTGAAAACAATTGTTCCTGTGATACTTTACCTACATCTTGGCTCCGACATAAATTGATTCTCAATGACAGAATGTTACTTACCAAAAATTGCAAAACTTCGATTAAAAATGTAGTTTTATCTATATGATCCAACTGGTTTATAATAATCACACAGTCCCAATCAACGAAACAGTTTTTTGGCTCCAATCTTTTCCAATTCGTGAAACTATTTGGTCACCTTTATAAACTATACTCTAAAATCTTGTTATCCTTAAAAATGATATAAGCAAGTTGATTACCAGTTACAAGCTAATTATGTTTGGAATATTAAGGAAGTCTCATTAACACTCAAAAATATGATGGATCCTCTCCTTATTGTACCATTCCAGAAACTTTACAAACTTTTGATCCGAAAAAGTTTATAAATTCCTCCATGAACATTAACAACTAAACAAACAATGATCAAAAGGAAGTCAGTTTGAAACGATAAAGTCTATATATGGTGTGTCCACCTGCATCATATTTTAGATATAAGCAGTAAGACACTAAAATTCATTTGAAATACACAATAAAAACTATCACAACAAAAAAGAATCAATGACACACAATGAAACAACACGTGACTTTACTGTATTATAGTCATCATATAATGAGTAAATCATGAATAGAAGTGCCTAGCAAAGTGTCTTTGAATCAAAGAATCATAGAAAGGGCGCCACTTCACTTTCAAAGGCTGAGACCAACTAGCTACACATAAATTGTTAGCTATGATCAAAGAGATCAATCTGTTTTGATCTAGTCATTTAGGCATAACATCAAACACTTGTAAGGCATAATGAAATAACCCTGAACACTTACTGATTTCCAGCAATAAGGAATACCCAAATGAATTAAAACTTATTAACAGTTGCATATGAAATCGATTATGAAAAAAAAACGAAAAATACCGAAACCCATTTGGAATCTAAGTCAAAAAAGAATTGTGAAAAATAAAAACTGAGGACAACATGGGTTAAGAACATGTGCTCATCTGATTCTTCATCTAATCATCTTATTTGGCAATTGACAAGATCTAAGGAGTATCACATGGGTAATCTAGTAGTAGCACTATGGGAACATCAAAAAAATTATATTTCTCGGAAAAACTTGAGGGGTAGCACAGGGCTACCCCAGGCTACAAGCTGGTTCCGCCCCTGCTCCTTTACCAACAACAATACCAACAAAACTAATTCCAACTACCAAACCTTTACCAAACACCAAACCAATTCCAACAATTCCAACAATCATAATTTCAACAAGTTCAAACTTAACTTTCTTAACCACAACCTTCCCAACCTCAATCTCCCCACAATGATGATGTTAAAAGGGTGCCGGAAAGTCAACCACAATCAACAAGAGAAGGCAACCAAGGGACTATGGAAAAAGGCTCAAAATAAATGGGATGAAAAATGAGGAAGAAAGGTCTAAAAGCTTTGCTAATATTATTATTATTTTTTTCTTAGTTTTGTTTCCTTTTTGTACATATGTATTTATGATGTTTTTCCTTGCATGCATTCGGTCTTAGTTCCTTATAGGTTCTTTCCATTCTATTCGTCTTAGTTTCCTTTTGTTAACCTATCGTCTTCTCTAGGGTTATTCTTCACTTTGTTCTTTCTTGAAGAAAAGAAAGGTCTAAGCTTTGGAGGTTTTATAGGTGCATTTTATGCACCTATTTTGCACGTCTATTTCTATATTTTTATTGCATTTTACTTCATAATTCTTGCATTTAGTTAATTATTTGGGCACTTGCATGTTTTATTCGGAATGCATAGTACTTCACTGTTTTTGATTAATTTTGTAGGCATTATGGAACTTGGAGCATTGGAAATATGGAGACGAGCTTAGAGCATTGAAGCATGAAGAGAAGATGGACTGGTCATGCCATGGAAGAAAACATGAATTACATCAAGTCATAATCAAGTTAAACAACAACATTGAGAACTAAAACTAGAACCATTCCATCAACTTGATTACAAATCTATTTCCTTTTTCTGCATGTTTTCAAAGTTGATTGTTATTTTCATTATTTAACTCTTGCAAACAAAACCCTCTTTATGAACGAAGTACCTTGCGCATAGAGGTATAAATTTTTATTCTGTGTCTCTGTGGTTCAACCCTGCTTGCCTTGTAATACTCTTTCATGCATTAAAGCAATGTATTTGGAGTCTTTTGTACCTGTAACACCCGATTCAAAGTACTTTTCAGTTTAGACCCTTGAGCTGTTAATGTTTTGCTGATTTGGTCTCTAGGGGGGGGGGGGGGGGGGCAGAATTGCCAACTTCCGGAAAGTTGGAGTACGCTTGACGTACTCCTTGTACGCTGGGCGTACTAGTGCATTTAGGATCGCGAATTCAGTCCACGTACGTTGGGCGTACGTGGAGTACGCATGGTGTACTGTGGATTATGAAACCCTAATTTCTAGGGTATTGCACCCTGTTTATGCCTTATGATAGCCTTATTTGGTCATGTTTAGACACCCTCCACCTTCCCTTGTCCAGAAATCAAAACCCTAGTGAGTTCTTGAAAGTTTTGAGCCATAAAGAGTGTTTGTTGGTGCTTTGTGAAGGAGAAGAAGAAGTGGGCCATTTTTATTTCTGCTTGGAGCTTGAGGATCCGAGATTAGTTCATCATTTGCTAACCTTTTGAGGTAAAAAGCTCCCATTTTGCTAATCTATGATGGTAGATCTAGGGTTCTTTTGGTCCCTTTGTCCATAAAGATGATATGACAAGATGTTTTAACAATTCAATTCAATTTCATGAGCTTTTTAGTGAATCGCCATCTATCGCGTTGCAATGGAAGAATCAGCAATGCAATATGCGGAAATTGTGTTTTTGATGGTGTGATTATGACTGAGGAATTATCAAAATCAATTCGAATGAAAATCTCAAATTGTGTATCATCACCTTGCATTTTTACTATCATGCAGTAATGGATCGTGTAATAGATTCGAAGAGCGTAACCCCTGGTGGTGGCAGTGACGACCAATTGTCGCCACCGATGGCTTCGTCTCGTGGTGCAACATCTTCGACGATTCACCGGCATTCGCGTTCAGGATTGATTGTGAAGAGGTCACAGAACACCAAGGAGGCGGCACAGAGGCTTGCTCAAATGATGTCTCATCAGCAAACGGATGATGGCGAAGATGACGACGATCTCTTATTTGATTTTAGTCCACCCGCCACCACCTCCTCCTCCTCCGCCCCTGCCACCGGAAGGTCTCAAATCCGGCATCGTTCGCCTATGGTATGTATACCTGTAATAAATGATTTCCATGTCATCTAGATGCTATAGTTTTGTTGATATGACATAACAATTGTATAATTATCTTGTATTAGACAGTTCACACAGCTTTAGCTCCACGTATCGGCCGATCATCTCAACCAGTAATAAACCACGAACAATTTCAATCTCAATCAGCCCGTTCTTCATCTGACCATACTTCCAATAGCCTTCGCTCAGCTCCATCAATCACTACTGTCGAACATGTTCAACCTAATTCTGCTCGAGCTAATCGATCACCACAACGTTGCCGCCCCATGGAACAACCATCGTCTGCTCGAGCTATCTCAGCCGGTCGTCCAAGTTTAGTAATGAAGCCAGTCGCCATGGTGCCTCCCAGTGTTAATTTGTCACTAAGGCCAACCTCCGGTCGAGACACGCAGCCTGATGCTCAAAAGAATAAAAGGTATTTTGAAAATTTCCCGATAGATAGATCACTCCAATTTGAGCAAATTTTTGTGTAAATCATCTTCTATATTTTCAATTTGAGCAGTTTTTCTTTGGATCTGGGTGTTTTCGCAAGGGAATCTAGTAACCAACGTTCAGCTACTGCTACTACTGCTTCCGCTCCGACTTCTGCTACTGCTTCTACTTCTGCTCTGGAAGATGATGTAAACTCTCAACTCCCTCCCTCTCACCCCACCTGCGGACGCCATTAACAGTTGGTTGACCCAGGGTTGGCTTGAGCGTGGACTTGTTGAGCTTCACAAATTGGGAATCGAAGCTCAATTGTGGCAAGCATCTCGCAAGTTGGTTGACCCTGACTCTCAACATAAATGGCAATTGCACATTAATTTCTGACATTCCTTTTAGTTTGTTTTGTTTTCTTATTAGGCCACGTGGCAATCTTGGAGACCTTTTACATATGTAAGTATTGATTTGAAATTAGATGCGTTATAATAAATTCTCAATTCTTTTCTTTAATTCAATTATTTGTATAATTCAATATTTTTAATTTTCATTATTTTTTTTGAAGTTAAAAAATAATGAACCCAAGTCTCAAATCTACACAAAATTGCATAATAAATTAGACTAGGCTTCCAAAAGTGTTGTTTTCCTTCAATACTCAGTCTCGGTAATCTCCTAATTAATTTAAAGTCTTGTGAAATGCAGTCTGAAAAATCAGGAAGTTCATAAGTACCTCCTCAAATTCACAACATTAATTAATAATTAAAAAATTAAAAAACACTTACAGAAGTTGATGTTTTTAGCAACTCCCTAATAGCCATAGTTGCATAGCAAGATGCTGGAAGTGTGAAGCTCAATTTAAGGGCTAACTGGTCTCCAATCCCAAAGACTCCTTTTTAACACCATCACCTTCATTGGCCTTTGAAACAATGTCTAAATCGGTCGTAGCCAATGGGATGCTTACATCTGTATACTTTATCAACTCCCTGAAATAATATTTTTTATTAAAATTCCAATTTTTTTATATGTAAGCAATGTAACTGTTCTTTATTTTTAATCAAAATACCATTCAAAATCCTTGGCTTTTCCAAATACTCGCCGATAAGCTCCTGTCATGCTGGTTAGCGAAACTCCCTACCAAAAGAATTAACAAAATTAGTATTAAATAAAAAGTATTTTATTAATCATATTTGCAAAAAAAAAAAAAAAAAAAAAAAGTAAGCAGAAGAACTCACTTGACATTATGCATACTCTCCATCAAGCTCACACCATCCTGTCATGGAACAAAAAATAACACAAGAAATTCAAAACTAAAATCAGAAATTAACAATATATTTATATAAGAATAAAGAGAAGCAAGAAAACACACCTTGTCAGCCAAATCTTGATAATATTGTTGAATGTCATTATTTGGAAAAATTACCCTTGAACTGCCCAAATAAAAAAAAAATAATAATAATAATAATAAGTTTAAAGATACATAAAGTGTGAAGTTTGTGGGATGTAGCAACTTACCCAGGTAAAGGAAGGACAACATCAGAAACTGTATAATTCCCTGAAAGAATGTCTTCCTTGTTAACCACCTGTAAAACAAGCAAATAAAGAAAATATATAATTGGGTAGAGTTTTCAAACTATAATGTTGCAATGTAATAAGAAGAAATGAAATAATAAGGTTGATATTTCCTGACCTTTACTGAGGTACAAGTTCCTTCAGATGGAAGTGCATCAGCCTCATCTAAATGATTATTCTCTAATGAATCATTATTCTGTTCATATTCAGAATCATTGACTTTGACTTCCTTTATTTCATTACAACTTTCTTCATTACAATACACCAAATCCCCCAACACTACTTCCTCATTCCCTGAAACACAACCCAATTAATAATATAAATATATTTTTTTAACATACATAATTCGTACCATATTTTTGTACTCTCATGCTAGCTGCATGGTTCCATAGATAGCTTTGGTAACTGTGCACATACCTGAAAACAAACCACAAACATATTGTTCAAGTACTTGACATATTTTCTAATTTCTTTTTTTGATATTAATAATAATAATAAAAAGTAATACTTACATCATTCTAAGGGTCCTAGGAACAGCCTTTAGAGCTTGCAAGTAGTTCCCTGGACACTTTTTCAAACACTGCAGCTGATAAACAAAAAAATATATATAAACATAAATCAAATATAATATTTATTTAATAGTTATCATTGAATTAAAAAAAAAATGTGCAACTTACAATGGCCTTTTCAGCCACAAGAAAGCGAGGTAACTGTCTCAAAGTCCCATCAATGTCTTCACTTTCTTTATAATATTCCCGAATCCTCCTTATGTCATCTTTTTGTATTCAAAAACTTATATTAAAGAAAACAAATCATTATAATAACATATTTTTTTCTCAATTTATAAATTTTTTTTTTAAAAGATGATGATCAGAAACTAAAAGGATATCACCATCCCTTGGATCAAGAATCATGCTCACTGCTTCTTTCCATTCTCCTTTAAGTAATTTAGCACCAATAAGGTGAGTAGGTATAGAACCACTCCCAAATCTCTGTTTCAGAATCCATATATTAATATTTTCTTTTTTTAAATAAATTAATTCATGTGAGTGACACCTTATTACCTGCATACCAAAGTAGTTTACAAATCCATGTTTTCCTAAAGCAACTGCTGCTACTTTTACAGTATCCTCAGAATCTGCAACCACCCCCCTACAAAGATGCAAAAAGACGTAAATGCCCTCATCATTGAAAACACCCCTATAAAGTCCATCTATGATCTAACAAATGCAGCCTTATCAAACCTTAGTGTGATTGCGAATCGATTTCCATGGAGTTGACCAAGAAGAAGACCTTCATTGACATAACTAAATACAAATTACAAAATCAAACATTTGGGTGTTAAAAGATTTGATTAAAAATGAGAAAAAAGTTGTAAATTCAGTGCACTTACGAAAAGTCGCCAACTTTAATTCCAATTAATCTTTTATTCAGATTAGCCACTTTGTTTGCACGCTGTTTAAATACAGTGACCTGAAATTTCAAGTATGCCAAAATGTCAGACACTCAGACTTCATAGATAGAGAGAAAATGTAAAAATAAATAAATATTAACATTTAATATTTACCCTTTGAGTTGTTACAGCACGCTTATCTTTTGTACCAGAAAATCCAAATGCCCTTGGCTGTAAAAACAAAATCAATAAACAATTTTATCATTTAAAAAAAATTCCAATTTCATTGAATTACTCAAAATGATGTGTAAGCACTACAGTAACAACAATAACCTGAATGCCAAGCATCTTTCCAATCACCCCTAATGCCTCTTGTGTATCCTTGTTTTCCTTACAAAGATGAAATCTGGAGATGAAGATTCCAAAACATTGTCATTAATAAATATTAAAGAATATAAAGCTTCAAAAGTAAAACATTGTCATTAATGAAAGGATGTTGCTATAGTAGACACCACCTGAGAAACTTTCCAAGATGCTCAGGCCAATGATCTGAACCTCTACTATCATAAGGAGTCTCATCTCTTCCTTTCCTCTTCTTAGAACCTCTGCCTCTTTCATTATTCCCCCCTGAATTCAATCGCACACGTATGCATTTTGATGAGGATTCAGGTCCATCTACTGTGTCTGTAACCAAGAACTTGAGTTTCTCTTTGAAAAAATTATGAACTGCCTAAAGGGAGCAAATTATTAGTAAATTACACATACACATACTATTGATTAGCTATAGTTGATGAAAAGAAACATTGAGAAAAGAGATTCCTACTGTTCGATGAACTTTATCAGAACTTGGAGAAAGAACAATGGAGGTATTGGTAACTGTAACTCCATCTTCATCGTTTGAATTTATCTTATCTATAAATTCCTTCAGGGAGTTGGCATCAGAGTCACCAACTAGGGCACTAAACGATTCAATTTCACTACAATGGTTACCGTTTGGTTGATTTGTAGTCTTTGATTCATGTTCCTCTGCTGCCTGAATCGAAAAAATGTAGATCGTTAAACTCAGATGTTAAGATGAATGGAAATGAAGGTGAATTAGATGATAAGATATGGTAACAGACCTCCATTGGTGCATCTAAGGAAGTCAAATGAACAACATTTCCATCCAAATCCACTTCATTGACTATAAAATCAGAGTACCTGTAAACAAAAAACATAAAATCAAAAGGCATACTCTTCATTTGAATTAAATGTAAATTCACAACTGTTCCACGTTTACAGAATCATTACGAATGTTTATCGTTTACATTACATCATTTGACCTATAGATCGAAGTGCAATAACGAGAGAGGGAAGAATTTCGCACATAAAAAGAGGAGATTTCAGACAAAAGGACGAGCGAAGGTAGCTACAAAAGCTCAATTGAACTCAAATAGTGAAGGATGTGAGAGGGGAAGATGATACCTTTGCTTGAGAATGCCACGAAAGCCAGGGAGAGGGGAGATGTAGCAAGAGATGCCTACGTCGGATTCTTCGAGGGGGGATTTCATGGCGGCCGATTGTGATTGACTTAAACAGTAGGGTTTTAGAAGGTTGTTGCAGGAGGGTTTTAGTTGCCGATGACAACGAACGGGGAAGGCAGTATAGAGTGTAAGCAATCCCATGTTTCTATGTAGCATCATAGCATCCAACAACCCGAAATTGCTTCGAGGTTTTTTACATTTTTAATTAGAAAATAATTTTGAAAAAAAAATAACAAGCCCTTTTCTTTTCCAAACTTTTTTCATAAAAATAGCGACAATAATGAAGTTTTTTAAAAATAGCTCTGATTTTTGCAAATCATATCTACAAAAATCGATGTCGCCGGTATTTTTTTTTTTCTAATATCAACGACGATTTTTTGTGGCCTTCCAAAAAATGCGTCTTCTGTGAAAATCTAAAAAATATTGTATTTTCTGAAAAAAAACATAGATTGTTTTGTCATGTTTATTGCGAAATATAAATCGGAGGTCATACTTCAAAAATCGAAATCAATACTATAAAAATCAGTACATTATAGAGGTAGTAATCTTATAATAAATATTTCTAGAAAAAAAAAATCCCCATTTGTCTAAATTTTAGATTTTCGCTAGGTATTTTTATTTGATTTCATTAGAAAAAATTCTCAACTCACCATTTCTATTCTTGTTAACTAAACATGAGTTCTAACAGTTAAAAAGAGTCTTTTATTGTTGTTTGAATCGATAGTTAATGACAGTTAGAAAATAGAGAATCGATATACCTTAGACCGTTTGTTAGAAACTTTTGTGTTGAAATTCCGTTATATGTAAATTTATGGGATATATATAATTTTCTCAAACAGAAAACAAGTTTGGAATACACACCTAGTATCATTGTGTCTTTCTAATACCTAACACTGAAGTATGTCATACAAAATAGTTGATGAGGATAATGTGCCTAACATTGAAGTATGTCATACAAAATAGTCGATGAGGGTAATGTGAAGCGTTTAAAAAAGATTATTCTGCAAGTTTCAACACCTATACATTTGTATCTAGTGGATAACGAACCGGTTGAAGAGCCATAGTTTATTTAATACAATTTTGCAAATATTTTTGTTGGTAGTGGGAATCGATCAAGCAGCGGAAGAGGTTCCAATATCAAAAGGGGGAAAAGCTCTGCTAAAATCATATCTATTGGAAGAAGTAGCAACAATCAAGTATACAATGTTGCAAAACTTGTTAGGCGTTCTCAGGGCGGCTGACTAGTGTCTAACGAGTATTTAGTCTAGGCGGGGAAGTACTCGGATTGAATAAATTATATGAAATTAATTTTAGGAAAAATATATATATATATATATATATATATATAACAAATATTACAAGTTTATTAAAAATTATAACAAAATAGATGAATATCAATAATAATCATATATTTTTTTCTAAAAAAAAAAGTCGAAATTTTCGAGTTTCTTCGATTTTTTCAGATTTTGACCGATTCCTATTTTTTATTATTTTGACCGAATTGGAGCCGATTTTGACCGAGTTTGACCGATTCCGAGTTTTTCGACCGATTCCTAGTTAGGCGCCTTGACACCTACCCGATTTCGATTAATCAACCACCTAGGCCGAGTTTTGCAACAATGCAAGAAGGTATGCGTGTCTCTCCAAATAATCCTTACAATTTAGGTGGATATGTTGCATTTGGAACACCAGTACAACAAAAAATCAATTCACAAGTTGTTTTATGAAAACCATATTAGGAATCGACAAAATTCAGTATGACAATCGCGAATATTTTTCCATCAAGCATTCATCCTAACTAGAAGCATCACCCCATCCAACCATATTGCATAATGGCATGGCTACATCCTTGAGGCAAAACACTTGGCGACCAACAATGCTCGCAGGTTTTAGAAGTAGTGTCATTGTCATTGTTCTTTCTTGAACAATCATAACACAAACTGAAGAAAGAGAATCCAATTGGCCAATTAGCGCCATTGTCGTAAATTATTATTGATATCATTATCCCCTAAAAGCAAGCCTTCACCAACCTTTACTATAAAGAACAAAACAACCATGTAACATCAGGTTTCTTGATATTTCATTATTTGGGGATACAAACTTTCATTTGGTCAAGAAAAGGTCTCAGGTTTCAAAAATTAAGGATAAGACCTTAAGGAATAAGAATTTTAGGCTATGAACATAACACTTTGGAGTAAAGGTTTAATGATGGGTTAATAAGCAGTTGCGCTTAATCGTGTAACACCCAGTCCTCTCAGGTAAATTTCCTTCACTAATTAAATTTAACGGTGGAATTTTGGAAGTTACGCAGGGCGTAACTTAGCTCTATACGACGCGTAGAGGGTTGCGTGGACATGGGGTTTTTAATGACTTGTGTTGAGCGTAAGTCTATGTATGCAGTGATGGGTTTTAGTATACTACAACATCCTATGGTGCACATACAACCCCAAATACCTTGGATATATGTTTTCACTAATTATACATGCAAATGGTTTCCAAGGCATTAAACCTATAACTAGCATGCATTCTCATATACCAAATAAGATACTAGTTAGAGTAACATACATTTTGTGTTGTAGCTTAATTCCATGGAGCTTAAGAGCCTAGTGCCTCAAGTGTGACACCTCAAATGGTTCACACAACATCACCAACAATTGGAATAACTGGAGAATAAGGATACTTAGGTTCATACTCATGAAATCGGTTTGCCCTCTTTGTGTATACACACTCTAGTGACTAGCACTTCAACCCATTTCATGAACCATAGCCCTCTTTATATAGTGTGGAGGATTAGGGTTACATTCATGTAAACCCTAATACCCGTGACCTTTCATTTCCATAGGATCCATGGGTTAAACACTCCATGGACTATCCATGCAAGCTTAGCCCAACCTAAATGAACTTGGCCCACCATTTATATTAGAGTCCATATTTAATTAGTTCCTTTTTGATCACTAGAATTAATTCTAAATTAATTCTTGATCAATACTAATTAAATAATACGATTTCATATTAATATATTAGAATTTATAATATATTAATATAAATCATTAGTATCCTTTTTTCTCATTTTGTCTATCCAATTGTTCCGATGTCATGCAACCCAAATGGATCATACCAAATCGGGTCAAGTACATACCAATTATAGTTATGGACTTAGACACCAATCCAACAGTCTCCCACTTGGATAAGTCTAAAACTATTATTGTGTATGACTCCAAAACCCGACTAGCAATCGTAGCTCTTAAAGCCGTTGTCGAACTCTGAACAAATCAATGACGCGTCCATTAGATAAGGGATCATATATTCCTCCATTCTAGATATCATATGGACTGAGACATGGATTATAATCATTCTCTCTGTCCATTTGTTGTTTCCCGATTTTCGATTTATGACGACCGACTAATTGAACAAATCAAATCAGTCTAGGCTTGGCCAAGCACTTCGGGGTATCATCACTAAATCATCGAGGACAGGCCCACAGATATCGCTTTTATCCCTTCAAGGGTAAAAGGAATGGATAAACTTCGACTCATATGCTTGTCCTACTACTTGTTTAATCATACACAAAGGCACGTTTTATAACATCGAGTTACCAATGCGTTTTCATGCAATCAATGTATAACCAACTCATAGTCAACAACTCATATCTCTAGGTTTGAAGAATATAAGATATTATCGTCTCATGATTCACTCGTGATAAAATCCATGAAGTGATTCAAATGAGCGTCGGTTGAATCCAATACTCGAATCTCATTCCAGGAGCACTCATGAACGTTGTAGCAATTCTTGCTATGTCCAACACCTTACACATCTACAAACCCAATTCATGACAGTCTTGCCTTAATACGTACTTCCAACGTATTATCGACTGTGGATGGTTTGAATAACTTAGCCATTGTGAAGAATGACCTAGTTATTCTGGAAGTCAAAAACATGCAAAGTGAAACACAAGAATAATCGAATCCAATATGGTCTCAGAACTTATGAATATAAATAGAACACCTTTTATTTATCACCATATTGATTACACATTATTCATTGTATAATGTTTCAACTAATCAACTTTATACTTGAATCAAAACAATAGTCATGCCATGCTCCAAGCATGCACACTATGTTTATCCAAACAATAGTCATGCCATACACCAAGTATGCACACTATGTTTGTCCAAACATTAGTTATGCCATACACCAAGTATGCACACTAAGTTTGTCTATGATCTTTTACTTTGTGAAATAGATCGATTGAACATAATTCCAATGATTCTCATTTCACAATCCCAAATCCTTATCGTAAATGTAAGAATTCCAAATTCCTACTATTTACCGAAATCTGTTAGATTTTAAACTTATATGCAGTGATCCTCTTGTAATGATTATGCACAAAGTCACAAAGACTTGTCAATAGTCATTACAGAGTATTCCAATGGAGATCGGATCTATGGAAACGAAGTCTCATATTCAAAGTACATTGCTTTGAACATCCTTCTTGCATTAAGTTTTCTAATCTCACACAGATTGAATAACTTCCGCCTATGGAAACATTTCCATATTCCCATTTTGACTATCACTTCTGAACAAGAGTTGCCTCCTTTCAGAATATGTCAATATGGTCCTTCCAAAATTAACACTATACTTCCAACTGTCCCTGAGCAACCAATCTTTGGTAAACCTTAAATTGACCTCGACAATTGCTTAATCATTTTAGTCATATCCAATTCTAGACTTTCCCCTCTTAATGCCTAGAGCATTTGGAAAATTTAGAAAGGATGAATATTATAGCACATGCAATCGATCCTATATCCGAAGCATATGGGATACGATTCATGATGTCTCACATAAAGACATGATATTAGACCAGTCTTTTGCTATAATATTTCTATTTCTATTTGCCATGTTCTCATAATTCAGATTATGAAAAGGGATGCCGTAATCATAATCGAATTTTAGAACGCAAATATTGGACCCATATATAGAATTTCCTTATGTTGAGCCATTCCAACATAAAATTCATATATATCATTGACTAAAGATGATTAAAACCTCAATCTAAGCTTTTAGAATTGAAATGAAGTATAATTTCCTCTCCCTTAATTATAGCAAAACAACTTTTCCCAATTGAACTTTTGTTTTTCTATAATTAACATTGCTAACTTGCAACACTTATCATAATTATCGTGCTCCCAA